GTAATCTGTATTTATCTCTAAGACTCAACTCAGGCATTCTTTTCTCCAGGAAGATTTTTCTGAACTCCATGTTATTCCTTTGCTAAACTTATTCTGTGGCTGTCTTTCCACTTTATCATGAAAACTCTATGAGGGCAAAGACTTTGTCTACCCAATTTATTATCTCTCCATTTGTAGCACTTAGAAAAACACATGGTACATCGTAGGTACTCTTATATCTATGAAATGAAGAATAAATCCATGCACAAGATTCACATATAAATGTTGAAATATATAACAGTATTATTGACTTCTTCTGTATAGGTAATTTAGTTTAATTCAATATTTATAGTGTGCCTACTTGAGCAAAGGACATATAAAGATAACAAGACAGGACATTAAGTACTGCTGAGAGGAGAGATGCATATAATAAAATTAGCTGTCGTCCAGTTAAACCTTAACAAAGGGTAGAGAAGCAACATAAATTAAAGTGAGAGTGCAGAGGAAGACAAGAGTCTTTCCTCTCATTGCTAGTATGGGCAAGATCATGGATACAGGCGATCCACTTCGTAGGGCAAAAAAGTGAATGTGTACAATAGAAATACTTGGATTCCCAGTAGTGGACAAGCAGCAGAACAAATTGATTCATACATTTTCAGAATATAAGTAAGTATAGACTAAACTGGCAGAGTAAATTAATCCCTAAGTTTTTGAAAATATAAGCCATCTACAAAGTATGACACAAAAGTACCATTTGTGTCCTGAGAAGAAAAACCCTCTGATCTTTTCTTCTTTGTCTTGTAATTCTTTTTCCCAAGCTCTAGTTGCTTTGGTCTTTTTTTTTTTTTCTAGTTCTGCCATCCAATTAAAGTGTGTGTGGGGGTATTATTGATGAATACAATGTTGTTCAGTTTTTTTCCTGCAATTAGTAAAGAGGGATACAATTGTAATATGTATGATATAGGTTTTAGAGTAATTTATATGTGGGTCCTAATCCCAGTTTTATTACTTACTAAGTCTGCTTAACTTCTAACCTGCAGCTTCAAACATCTATAAAATGTTGATGATATTACTTATCTCATATTACTGTTGTAATATGAGAATCAAAATAACAAATTATTGTGCTACATCTTAGTAAACTATAGCAGTTACCATCATCATTATTATACATTTTGGTGAACACAGATGGTGTTTTAAAGCTAATCTAAAAAAAGTACTCTGTTTAACTTTGTGCTCAATATTGAGTTTTGTTGGTGATGATGATGACACAATGGTCACTTCCAGTGTAGGCCATGGGTGAACTGGTGTCAGTGAAAGGAAAAAGAAAAAGGGGAAAACTTTGGGATAATAGCTCTCAAGGAGAAAAATCTCCATGAGCGGGCTCTCTAGTCTGTGTAGGGAAACAGCAATTTCAGAAAGTGGATTTGTGTCATTGCTATTAACAGCTGGATAGAGACCTTGAGAAATTTGTTGGTGACTACTGTTCTAGTTTCATTTAAATGTATACTTCAGCCTCTCTCTCTGTCCACTTGAAACAAGCTATGATGTCATTTGATCTCCATCTTCATCTTAAAGAACACCCTCAATTGTATGAACTCTTGTGCTATAATAGTTTTTGTAAGCATTATGTTTCTGATTCACTTGACAAGTAAAGTGAAGATGATGAAGGAATCGAGAAAATGATTTAACATGTAGTCCTGGGCTTCTGAACTAGACTGGATGAGAGAGTCCGCTAGGCCCTAAACTTAAACATGTTTCTCTAAGGGGAGATTAAATATTTTCTCATTGGCTTTTTTTTTTAAAATTATGATTTAACTTATTATTTTTGTCACTAAGTTCAACAACATCAAGAACTCACTGAATGCATGGTAAGAAAATATGCGAAGAGATTTCACACAAAATGTGAACAGTACAGAAGACACACAGATTACAGAAGAAAATTTCTTAAAGGTAAGAGGATATACGAAACAAATTCTCTACCGATTTAAGATACACGTTGCTTCCTGGGCAGTAATAAACAACCACATTTTGCAGCGCATTTGAGAGACAAATAAAACCTGTAATTCCAAGCTCAGGAGCTCCCACGAATGCCAGTCAATTGCTGGATCTGGACTATCTCATTTTATTACAAAACTTAGGGGATTTGAAGAGAACAATAAGAAAGTGGGTTGTCTTTCTCAAGTTTCTCAGACAACACCTGCTGCCCACCACTGGGCCCCTATTTGCTTTAATTGCTAAGATATAAGATTTTTCCTTTAAGCTTTCATGCAAATTTAAGCACAAGATTCAGCAGAGTGAGTGGGTCTCTTGAGCCCTATTTAATCTTTTTCTAAGAGAACAGACAAATTTGGGGTAGTAATTACTCTAAATTGTGTCAATCCAAAGAATAAAAAGATATATATTTTGCTGTGTGTGGAAGAGAATGGTGGCAAATAGCACCCAAAACCAAATATAATTTCTAGTAAATATACAGAGGAGAAAAATAATCCATAAACTTTGTAAATGCTTTTCTATTTAGTTATCTGAAAAAGCCAGGGCACCTTCATCTTTACAAATACACACATATATGTATATATACACAGATATATACATATATATATTGTGTGCAGGTGTGTACTATGTATAAATACACATACACATACTTCATAATCTTTGAGGACTTGGCAGCTGGGGTGGAGGTAGGGTCCTTCTTAAAATTTTTAAAAATTGTTGATTAAATTTTAGGCCATTCTGGATTTGATCCTTAGACTAGCTAAACCCCTAAGGATATATCCAAGCATACACACACACAATTCTGGGCACAGTCTGAAGAAAGACAGATTTCACAAATAACACCTACTTAGTTCTTTACTTGCTGAAGGAGAAAGCACCAAGCTGGTCTCATAATGTGTTTGACTAGGCTTTGTTACAGCTACAAATGAGACTGATAACTCTTTTAATTATTAGGCCAATCCTGGTTGTTAGCAGTGCACTTAATTGTTTCAAAGCCAAAAAAGTTACTCGCAGCATCGAATGCCTAAATCCAATTTCTCAGTAAAACCTACATGCCCCCTTCCAATCTCTTTCCATATCTGTTGCTAAAAATACTTTTGTGGGATATTTTGCCATTTGATTCATGTTTTAACTTTATAACCTAACTGAGTCAAAAAACCCTGGAAAATGCTCATTAATGTAATAATAAGAGAATGGGTTCTTCCCGTTAAAGCATCTCTGTAACATACATTCTTAAACCCCATGTCACCTGATACAGCATTTGTATTGTATCATATAACTCAATGTATATGAATGCAGAGCTGCCATTTTTTTAAACTAAAAAATATTAGGAGTTCACTGTCTTTTTGGATTTCTTTTAAGGCCTTTCAGTACAGCCAAGCTGAAGTAATAATATCTATGCATTTTTTTTTATTATGGTAATAACAAGTTCTAGCTTACAATAATACATAGTACTTAGTTGGGACTAGGAACAATGATATAGTGCTTTTGAATAACTGGTAAATAGTCTCTTTTGTCTAATTTAACTAGGAAATTAGAAAGAGAAAAAAGAAAATATTTTTCACATATACAAAACATATTCTATTTAATAAAGTATGTGCATAAAATTATATATTGGGTAAGAGGCAAAATTAAAAAGAAAACAGCTTATAATATTCCTGATAATCAGAGTTCCTAAATATAAAAACAAATGCCTTGCCATTTTAAAAAATTAGCACATTATACAACTTTTACATACTTCAGAGGAAATAAAGATCTTGTGACACTGTTCTGAGGAATCTATTCTTTACGTTTATAAAAATTGAAGGCCTAATTTTGCAAATACAGCTTTCAAGCTGTATGAGCAAGTTTAACTTACACGGAAGGCACAGGATGACATCACGTTGGAGAACGTTATCTGTAAATTTCATAAAATCTAGTCGCAAGTTACTAGAAACATTTTAAGGAATCTCAGAACTGTTTATGCTGTTCTGATTCAAACTTAGAACGGAAGAGTCTTTATATCACAAATACAAACTGAAGGAAGAGTGAAGAAGAGAGAACTGTTTCTTATTTGAACGCTACCTGCTTTATGCAGTGTTGGTCACTAAACACTCAGAGCAGATGATTAAAATTTCCTTTAACTTGAATTGTTTTCAGTTTTCAACAGCTTATTCACTATATATTTTTTTTTAGTTTGTAAAAAAAATGTTACTTTCACATTGCTACAATTTTAAACAGTCAATCATTGAAAGAGATTTTTAAGTAAAGTCCTGCTCTATTAGCTTCCTACATTGGAATACAAGAATACAGGAAGTGCTTTCAACAGAAAGTTACATGGTTCTGCAGTACAACCTGTCTAGGAGACTCGCAAAGGACCAGTGCAGTGAGTTGGTCTCTTTGGATCAGGCAAAATCAGAGGCAATTGAAGAAGTGAACTTTTCTTAATACATAAAAAAATTCCCTTATGAAAATGAATACTTGCTTGCACTTAGATTTAGTGCTATTGAGAAGAACTGAGGCACAATGAAAAGGAAAATAATCTGAAATAAAACAATTTACAATGTGACTGAAAGCCTTCACCATTAGACATGACTGATGCAGGATGACTTTCTCATATTAAAGAAGATTACACACACCAGGGACGAGCCAGTTTTGTGGATCATATGTAGGGTGACACTAACAGAGTGCTGCAGCTAAAAATTCTGATTTTCAAAATCATTTATCATCTTGACTTTCCATGAAATTACTGGCTCTTTTGCTACAGTAAAATTAACCTCAAATCAAAAGGATGCTCTGAAAGCTCTGGAGGACTGTTAGTTTAGCAAAGAGGATGCAAGTTTCTCATTTACAAGTTCTGCTAGAGACCCATCTTTTCTTCATTTATGTCAGTATTAGACGTTCGTTCCACAGAACTTAAAGCTTTTGGGGAGAATGTTAAAGATGATTCTTCAAAGAATAGCTCTTCTAACGGTGACTAGGTAAAAACAGTAAGGTTGCACTCAGAAATGCTGCTGCCTTGAACTGTACTTGCTCCTTCCTCCTGGTCATCACGACTCTAGCAACGCATGCCATCTGCAGACCTGCTGTCCTTTGGACTCTTTCATTTCAGTCCAGTGGTTGAGTTCCTCTTCTCCAGAGCTGTTCAGACCTAAAGAAACCCAGCCTATCATCTCTTTCCTTTTCATGCTGCGTTTGTTATACACTGACAGTATGAGAGTCACATCAGAGAGCTGAAACAGGGCCACTTGAAACACAAACGTCTCCTTGTATACTGGATTTGGCTGCCCTCTGCGGATGGATGTCTTGCATTTGGACATCTCTTGACCCATGGAATTCAGTAGGGTTAATTTAACATATGTATCTACAGGAGAAAAAAAAACAACATGCCACAAATATCATTTGAAACAAACTCAAAATGTCTTTCTTGTAACACTTGATGAGGTTAAGTATTCATACTTTATAAGGATATGGTGTATACCACGTTTAGTCGAAATCTAATAATGCCATTTTGATGTAGATGATCACAAAATGTGACAAGTACAGAGAATGCTAAGTAGGCATAAAATCTTTGGGGGGTAATAATATCTTAACCTCACTATTTCTAGAATTTAAAGGTATACCTCATAATCCTTCCCTTACCCTGCCCCCCCAGCCTCCCACCCCCCACCCTGCCCGCCCCCACCCCCTTTCAGCTTCACTAAGCAGGACACCACAGCATCAATAAACACTTAGCAAGCCCAGCTAGCCACGAGCTGTAAAGCATTCCACTGCGTTTTCCGAGTGTGAGAATAAACAAACACAGAAACGAAGGCAAATGGTAAGGAGGAAAAGGGAAAGACAAGAATGCAAAGATGACATCGAAACAGCTTAGGATGAAATGTCAAAAAAATCTCTGCATGGATGTGGTTTTTAAACACATTTTAAAAACATTTCAGGGCCAAAATGAAGCCAAATGCACTAAAGGCTCAATGTTTAGCAAGTTAAGTTAAAACTTTCTCCTTGGTTTCATGCAAGAGTACATTTAATGTGCTTTTTGGATGGTTAAAAATAAATACTACAGGATTCCTTTTTGGCACAATTTAATGTGAAATTTTAAGTATGGTATCTTAACTATTTTCATGAATTATAAAAAAAAAATTGATGTGATGTTTAGTGTACCAAGTGAAACATAACAGTTCATTGCCTAGTTACTTAGGAGATAAACCCTCATTTCAAATAACTGTGTTTTCAATTTCTTTAGAACTCATGCAAATGATCTTCAGCATGTAGATCCATCATGTGTACTTCATATCAAAATTTCAATTAATTTTATGAAAATTTCAATATTTCTTAATGAAATATTTGTTTCTACATGAATCAATATAATGAATAAAAATTAAAACCCTTAATTTGAAAAGTTTTGCTAATTTTATAGATACTCTGAATACCATCATCCATAATCAGAGATAAATTCTAAGTTAGTTTTATTCAAAGTTCCACAGATAATAAATGTGCATTTTTTGGAAATCAACATGGTGGACAGCTTCACTGCTGGCAAGTTTTAGGGTATTTTGTTTTTGCATGAAAAGACAACATCCAATTAGCCTCTACAGGAACTCACCTCGGATTATATAAACCTGTCCACCTATCAAGTGTTTTAGACAACAGAACAGTCCATCTGACAACAGGGGGTGGAAAGCAGTAAAAGAAATAATGACCAGATGTCAATTGTTGGGTGAAAGAGGGTCAAAGGTTAGAATTAAAGAGGAAACGCTGTTCACTGGAGTGGAAGAACACAAAACTTTTAGCATCTTAATTCAGGTAGAGGGTTGAACAAAGGGTATGTTGGGTAAATTTCATGGAATGAGAATTTTTAAGGTAATTGTGTAATCCTAAGCAAAAATTACACTGTTTTAAAGTGGGACATCTTTATAATGATATCCTTATGGTCTAAAGCACATTGAACATAGAATCATGCAAATTATCAGACTATAAAAGACTGAATAAAAGTCATTAAAAGATCATTATAATTGTTATTTTGCTAAATTAAGTTTATCCATGCAATAGTTAATATTTCCAACACTTTTATTACTCCCAGTGTAATATAAAATTAAGTTATGAAAACAGAACTACTAAAATTTTTGTTCCTGAATGTTACCATTGTTCTTGTGAGATAAAAATTGGATTAGTCAGTCTATAACACAGTTCAAAGCTTAGAACCCAGGTATATATGAAGGGTCACAATCTTATATAATATATACAGTAGACAAACTGATAAAATTGTCTTCTATTTTACCTTATAAATACTTTATTTCATATAATAAAGATTAATGTTAACTTGTATTTACCTACTAGCTACCTCCCAGCTTACACCAGTAACTGTCCTAATACTGAAGCTCTAAATCTAAAATAATGGAAATCGCTATAACCTATTCTTTAACCTGAAAGACCTACAATGTGTTGTGGATGCAAATCTCTCTTAACTTGTTTATTATCCACTCCTGCCTCTACTCCCCATCTTTCATCTTAGTTCTGATGAATGTTTCTCTGTTTCTATCAGAGTGGCTTCAGCAAGGACAGAAAGACAAACGTATCATTTCATTCTGCTCCTTTCTAGCATTTCAAGTTAAAGATTTGTCAAAAAATTGAACTACTAGCTAAAGTAGGAATGGCAACCTGATGGCGTGTTACTAAACATAATCCCAAATAATGTCTTATCTGTTACAGTGTTTCAAAAACACTCATTGTTTAGCAAATCAAGTAAAACTTTCTCCTGGTTTCAAGCAAGAGTACAGTGCTCCCTTGCAGTTGTCACAGTTCTTTCCATGATTTTATCTTTCATTTAAAATTCTGGCCATTTAAATTACTTCCCAGGCCATTTGAGTTTGCTTTCCTAGTGTGGATTAATGAAAATAACCAAGTCACACTTCCAAAGCTGTTTAGTAATTGCTTCCTCCCTCCCTCTGAATTTTTCCTTTTGAAAGGAAAAAGGGGACAATAATAATTGCATTCTTTTTACGTGCCTTTATCTGATTTGAGTATCACAATTACCCTGTGAGATACAATCTTAATTTTACCATAAGGAAACAGACTCGGGGAGTTAGGTCATTCGTCCAAGGGTAGAAATATAAACCTAATTTTGGCCTCTGACTTTTTAATGCAGGGACAGATACACTGTGTGATGTGTGTGAGAAGCAATGTTTCTAGTACTACTGAGGGCGCATTAAATTTTTTAAATTTTGTGACTTTTCACTTTGATTGAAAAAAAATAATTGTTAGAATACTTAGAAGTAAAGTTAACTCAAGGGTGGAAAAAGTTTCCCCTCCTCCAACAATCATTTGCTACCTGGAGTGAAATACTGCTTTCAGCAAGTTTGTGAGAAATCATGAAACAAATTTAAGGGTGCCATCACTGTTCAAGATTTCCTTTCAAATTTTGGGTTTAGGCCATCAACAGCTTTAATTTTACAGAAATATAAAGAAGCTGCTACTCTCCCAGTTCATTTCTACAGATAACAGTCGACAGTTTGGGAGGTATACTGTGCCAATTTGTCTGTGCTTGACCCACTCCCACCTCCTGATCTAGGAGAGAGACGAGAGAGGAGAGAGAGAGGCTGATGATGGACAGGGCAGAGGGATGTATACCATCTCGCTTTCCTTCCCTAGCATCCAGCATAAACATCAAACTAGTCCTTATTCGTTTTGTCGTGGTAAAAGCAAAGCATATTTCATTTAAGATAAGACTCTGCTGGCAGTACTGATTTATAATTTTAAAGGAGGAAAAATGTAAAGAAACATTTTTTTTTCTTAAAATTGTTAACGCAGACAATAAGGAAAAATACAGAAGGATACACATTAGTTCATAGTACTGCACGCAGACAGAAAACACGTTCATCTTCAGTGAACAATAGCTATATATATATTTCTCACCATATTTGTGGAATATTATTACCTTAAAAAAAGACTCATAACTTTTTCTGGTATTAGAAGATAATGGCTATGATAGAGCTGATTTATTCTGAAGATGCTGAAAAATGTAAAGTCTTGTCAGCTTACAATTAATATTTTGATTTTCAAATCTTTCTACTTCCCAAATGACTGGAAATAGAAAACATGAACTAGATTAGCTGATGATTACACCATTATTGATTGGCTATGACTAAATGATAGGATTGAAGCCCTAACACTTAGAATCCCGTAAGTACAGAAAACATTAGAATTAAGAAAAGTTTTCACTCACTGGGTGGCCTGTTTGCTGCCAGGTTTTTGAAGTGGCTGCCTTTTATCACTTCTGCGGATAGCCTTCCAGTTGTGGCATTATAGAGGAGACCAATGAGAATTTCTGGGACTGAGCCATGTTCAAGGGACTGACAGGAGGACGTGCTTTCACTGCAGGACATTTCCGACACACTCATTTGGGAGTCACAGCCCTGCAATCAAAAACGAGATCTTTCTAGTATTTTGTAAAAAAAAGATATATTAATAGATATGTTGGTAATGCCCTGTCTGTTGGAATGAGGTAGGTAAATCATGATAAAGAATAAGAGTTGCAAGCAAAATTCCCAAAATACTAGACTAGAAATGTTTTTTTAGCAAATTTTGGTTTCTGGATCTCTTTTCATCATATGACAGTCAAAGGAATAAAAGGAGATGAGGTTTCATAAATTCTTGCATGTTTGTATAAAAAGAGAAGAGAGAAATTTCTTAAACTCATAGCTGTTAATGAACTCTTTCCCAAATGCAAAAAATTGTTTAAAGATTTACTGACCTTAAAAGACTGACACAGATTTAGACTCAATTACATTAAATTGTGCCTTTAAAGACACAGATTGCCAGACTTTGATTAAATAAGCAAAAAATCTGCTATTTATAAGTTGATATGTAAAACACTGACATATAGAAAGTTGAAAAAAAAAGGGTGGGAAAATATTTGCCATGCAAAAGAAATTTGGTGTAGCTACATTAGTATCAGCCAAGGTAAGCTTTAAGGCAATAATCATTTCTAGAGATAAACAGGTACACTGAATAATGATAACATTTCAAATTTACCAGGAAGATAAAGTAATTCCAAATTTGCATGCATGGGCTCAAAAGCAAAGATTTAGAAAGCAAAAACTGCCAGAACTAGAAAGGAAACAGGCAAATCTACAACCAGTGGGATACTTCAGCATACTTTCAGTAACTGACCAAAGAATGAGGCAAATAAATACAGTAATGGTGTAGAAGATTTGAATATCATGATAAGTAAAACTGACCTAATGGTAATATGCAGAACATCATACACTACAACTACAGAATATACATTTTCTCCAGCACGTAGTGGATATTTTTTCACAATAGATTTTTACAAAAATATGTATTAAAAAAGCAAACAAAGTTCAAATGATGGAAATAATTCAGAATTTTTAAAAAATCAGCTATAAATGCAAACTATCTTCTAGTGAAGAAAGAACTCCTATAAATTTGGAAATTAAGGATATAAATATAAATAACCCATGAGTACCTAAACAATAATGAAAATAAGTTACTTGAAAAGATGAACAAAAATAGATAAATGTTAGACAGTCCAATTAAGAAAATAAGAGACAAGGCACAAATAAAAAAATATCAGTAATGAAACGAGACACTACTATATATTCTAGTAGTGAAAAGATGTTTTGAAAATGAGTAAGAACAGCTTTCTTTCAACAAATTTGAAATTCTGATATAATAGACATATTCTTGGAATAATACAATTAACCAAAATAGACACAAAAAGAAATATAATATCTGAACAGTCTTACTGAATAAACTGAATTAGTAATTAAACAAATTTCCAAAACAAACAGAAAATAAAACAAAAAACTTTAGGTGGATGGCTTCAACAGTTATTTCTAATTAATCACACTAGTCTTATGCAGGGTTTCCCTGATAGCTCAATTGGTAAAGAATCTGCCTGCAATACAGGAGACCCCGGTTCAATTCCTGGGTTGGGAAGAGCCGCTGGAGAAGGGATAGGATACCGACTCCAGTATTCTTGGGGTTCCCTTGTGGCCCAGCTGGTAAAGAAGTCTTATGCAAACTCTTTCAGATAGTAGGAGAAGAGGAAACGTTCCCCCGTTTCCCATAAGAAAGCAGCAAGACCTCGGGACTTCCCTGGCGGTCCTGTGGCTACGACCTGTGGTTAAGATCCACTGAACAGGGCACGGGTTCCATCTGTGGTTGGAGAACTAAGATCCCACATACCATGTGGTGTGGCTGAGCAAAAATAGCCAAACCTTAAGATCAAAACCTGATAGGGCATTATTAAAAAATTACAGAATTTTCTCATTCATAAACTCAGATTCAACACTAAATAAACATTGAGCAAACCAAGCTGAGCAACAGATAACATCATACTTAGTAAAATTTCTAATGTTTCCCCTTTGAAATTGGGGATGTGACAATGATGCCAACTATTACCACTGGTAGTCAGCACTGCACTGGCGATTCCAGCTAGAGAAGGTCCTAGCCTTACAAAAGGCAATAAAATGAAATAAAAGGTACAGTGACTTGGACTGTCCTTATATACATTCTATACAGTTACGCAACCAGGAAATTGAAAAAGTCTGCAGATATATCATGGTTGCAAAGGTAAAATTTAAGAATCCATATATTGCTATACACCAGCAGCAAATTCAAAAATAAAACTTATTTTGAAATGACATTTATTAGAGGATAAAATATAAAACATCTAGGAATAAATGTACAAATGGTATGCAAGGACTCTATACAGAAAACCATGAATATTATTGAAAGAAATGTAAAAGTGCTGCATATACTGTGTTAACGAATTATAAGGTTCAATTTTGCAATATTCTTTCCAAATTGATTAAATGTAATCATAATTAAGACCTTAGACTTTTTGTGTGGAACTTGACAAACTAATTCTAAAATGTATGCAGTATATAGGTACGACGGAATAGCATTTCGTCTTAAGAAGGAAATCTTGCCATCTGTGACAACATGGATGATCCTGGAGGCCATTACGCTAAGTGAAATAAGTCAGTCACAGACACATACTGTGTGGTTTCCCTTCTGTGAGATATCTAAGATAGTCAGTCAGAGGCAGACAGTAGGATGGGGGCTGCCACGGGCTACAGAGGCGACGTGGAGAGTTGTTCAGTGGGTATAAAGTGTCATTTATGCACAATGAGTGAGCTCTAGGGATTTGCTGTACAGTAATCAATTAATCTACAGTTAACAATAGTGTATTGTACACTTAAAATCTGTCAAAGGCTAGATATCACATTAAATGTTCTTACCACAATAAATACAATACAAGATAGGGGGCTCTGCTCTAATGAGTATCAAAATTTATAATAAAAGTTACATTGTTGAAGACAATGTGATAAAACAATGTATAACAGATTATTAAATAGAAAGCCCACTAATTAGTCTACGCATAACAGATGCAATTTACAACAAAGGTAGAACTATAAAACCATGGGGAAAGGATAGTCTTTTTAATAAATAGTGATAGAACAACAAGTTATTGACAGAGAAATAAATGAAAATTAACTCTACCTCAAAATATACCCAAACCCCCCAATTCTAGACCTGAATATAAAAGGTAAAATGATAAACATATACATTAAAATAACAGACTATATTCACCATCTCAGGGTAGGGGGAGACTTCCTTAAAGAGGACAGAAAAGCATTAATCATAAATTAAAGTTTAGTGAATCTAGAAACATTAAAATTAAGAATTCCTGAGCTTCAACTGAGACTTTTAGGATGGCGAAAAGGCAAAATCATCAGGTAGAAGCAGAGGTCTGAAATACATGTAGTTCACAATTAGCTCAAATTCCAAATATACTAGCTCAAATACCCACAGCTCTATAAGAAAAAGACAACAATATAAAAACACTTGTTTTTATACTTGAACCAGCACTTTCATAAAACAATGGCCAACAAAAATCTGAAATGCTGTTCAACTTCATTAATAATCAAGGAAAAGGAAATTAAAACCATGAGGTAACACTACATAACAAACAGATGGGCTAAAACAATACTGTGGTTAGGACACAGAGCAATGGGAGGCCTCATTTTTCCAACAGTTATAGTGTAAAGCGATGTTTTCTCAAAATGTTAAAAATGCACAAACCATAGTATCTGTCAATTCCACATACTTATTGCCATCAGGAATATGTGCAATGCTTACCAAGATACATATGAAAGAATGTCCTTAGCAGTATTATTTATAATGGGCCTGAAGAGTAGAACAGATAAACAATTTGTGGTGAATTTATAAAATACAGCAACTATACTGCACATACCATATATATACACTAGACAGCAATCAAACTCATTATAACTACATTTACAAACATGATTTTGAGTGAAAAATGCTGAACCTAAAATGATACTTAGCCATATGGTTCCATTTATTTAAATTTTGACAACAAAAGCCCCAAACAAAAACCAAAGACAGATCAGGATAATACTAAACTTTAGTATTTCAGATGCACAATGCATGAATAGATGGTAAAATGATAACGACAGTAAGAAAGTAATTAACTTATAAGTCAAAATTGCGGTTCACCCCAGGGGTGGGGAGAGAAGAAAGAGTGACTGGAAAGGACACAGGGGTTTCAGGGGGGTGCAGGCAACATTTTATTTCTTGACCTGGATGGTAGTTACATGGGTTGTACATTTCTGTCTTTTACAATTTCTACTATGTGTTTGTGTGTGTGCATACTAAGTTGCTTCAGTCATGTCTGACTCTGCAACCCTATGGATTGCAGCCTGCCAGGTTCCTCTTTCCATGGAATTCTCCAGGCAAGAATACAGGAGTGGGTTGCCATTTCCTCCTCCAGGGGACCTTTTGGACCCAGGGATCAAACCTGCATATCTTTCTGTCTCCTGCATTGGCAGGTGGGTTCTTTACCACTAGCACCACCTGGGAAGCCCTCTATGCATTTGGTTTCACAAGAAAAAAAGGTTTAATGATACAAGGATACATTTATAATGATAAAAATTATATAAAAATATGATAAAATATTTAGGATAAAATAATGATAAAATATTTAGGGCTTTCTTTGCACATTCCTAAAGGGATTTACTACATGAGTTAAAAGACAAACTAAAGAGCCTCTTGATGAAAGTGAAAGAGGAGAGTGAAAAAGTTGGCTTAAAGCTCAACATTTAGGAAACTAAGATCATGGCATCTGGTCCCATCACTTCATGGCAAACAGATGGGGAGACAGTGGGAACGGTGGCTGACTTTATCTTTTGGGGGGCTCCAAAATCACTGCAGATGGTGACTGCAGCGATGAAATTAAAAGACGCTTGCTCCTTGGAAGAAAAGCTATGACAAACCTAGACAGCATATTAAAAAGCAGAGACATTACTTTGTCAACAAAGGTCTGTCTAGTCAAGGCTATGGTTTTTCTGGTAGTCATGTATGG